TGAAATGACAAACCTGAAGAATGTGAAACGGTCAATGAAAAAATCACAATTGCCAAAGTGTTACTTGGTTGTATCACTAACGAGATTATCTACAACGGTATAGGTATTAATAAGTTTTTTTTTCTTAGTCTAAAAGAGATTGTCTCATAATTATAATTCTACGAGCTGATACCATGACCAATAATTTACAAAACGCTGTCTGGCTATTTAAAAACAATGAAGAGCTGAAGCGAGACAATATGGCGGAAAATATTTTATAGTATTATATTATGATGCCAGGCTAGGATTTTCACTCATATTTCACAGCGGAGCAAGGAAACCACGTTCTCGTTTCACCTAGAGTGACTCCCGTCCGCCAAATACAGCAGCACATAACCTCACACGTCACATCATGTCACCAGTCCTGTAATCCATTAAGGTTTACGGGGCACTACATAAACTGCAGCCATAGGTCTAGGGAAAGATAAACTGATAGTGCCTGTGTTCAGGCTACTTCTGGATTCAGAATTTACTGCATGCGACGTCAGCCCCTTTAACCCACAGCTGTGAGAAGAAATGAATTCATGGGATTTTATAGCAGTATATTATATCAACACTAATAATAAATCTCAAAGTACGTTACGTTAGCTCAGATTATTTAACAACTGCTCAACCCTTGTTTAGTTATTTAATGTTCAGTATAGTTTTATAGGAAAAAAATCACAGAAAACTGTCAAAATATAAAAACCAGTCTACACTAAAATAAAATAAAAATACACATCGGTTTAGAATAAAGTAAAAAAAAAATCGGTGTGGTTTATACGAGAATCAAAAAGGGTTAAATAGGACAGGTCTATATCTATGTACAGTGCTGTGCGATAAAAGTGACTCACCTGATTTTTTTTACTAAAAATATTTTTTGTCTATTGTTTTTGTGGTTAAAATAATTTTTAATCTTACTAATATAAAGACCTCTTCCCAACCACCTAGGAAAAAAGTTTATTCACCCTAAGGTATTCTATTGATAATTATAAATTTGGATATAAATGAGATTCAGGAAAAAACTCAGATATCGCATTCTAATGATTAAACTGGTAAATTTAAAGAACTTTTGACAAAATATTGAAAACTATTTTACAATACACTCAGAACAATATTCTAGAGAATTCTAGAACAGCTTAAATTAAATCTAGAGTATTCCAGAATATTCCAGAAAGCCTCATACAGTATAAAAACAGCTTGAAATAGCCACTCAGAAATGCTTAAGCCATCTATTATTGCCCTCTCAAAAACAGTCAAGTCTACTAGATAAATTGCAGAAATTGCTATAACCTCGCAATCAACTGTCTCTCGAGTGCTTAGGGCACATAATGATGCCACTCCCGCTCCAAGGAAGAAAACAAGGGGACGAAAGAAAAAGATTGATGATAGAACTGGCAGGGCAATCAAGAGAGAAGTTGCGAAGAATAGGACTATAACTAGCCAAGAAATTGCAGCCAGCCTAAGCGAAGAGCAAGGTGTTAGTCTTGCCTATTCAAAAGTCCGTCGAAGGCTGTTAGAACAAGGCTACAAATCTTGTACACGATGGTTTAAACCGCTAATAAGCAAATCCAACAAAGCCTTGACTTGAATGAGCTCACTATTACAAAAATTTCACCATAAAAAACTGGAAGAATGTTCTCTTCTCCGATGAAACGAAAGGATAAGGTGAGTCACTTTTATCGAACGGCACTTTAGTCATTCCCCTGAAATGTAGCTGGTTTTGTTTGTGGCTCTTAACACTTTGCAAGTGGATATATTCAATGTAGAGGAGAGAACACATTAGTGTTAGCAAAAGTGGCAGCTTAGCATGCAAATTACGAATTGGAAATGATAAAATCATACAACAATTTAAATAACTGGGAAGTGCTTTAACTGGGGACAGAAATGCGAAACTGAAATCCGAATAGATAGCGAAAGATGCTTTCCAGAAGCTAAACAAAGTATTAAGAAACAGAAAAAAATCGTTAGAAACAAAGACTAATGAACTGTTACATAATATCAGTGCGCCTATATGAGATTGAATGCTAGACAATCTCCTCACAAAGGAGGAAAACTTGAAGCAACAGAAATAGTGTTCTACAGGAGGATGCTGAGAATACAATGGACAGACCATTTGAGCAACCATTAAGTGTTAGAGAAAATGGAAACAAAAAGGACACTTATACTTATCCTCAGGAAGAAACATTAGAAATTTCTAGCGCACATAATGAGGAAAGTGTGCTTGGAAATATTGATACTCACAGAACAGATTGAAGGGAAGAGGGACATCATATAAGCTAGCTAGAGAGTAAATTTATGGCGGAACAAGGTTTAGGGGAGATAACAAAAAGACAAAATGTATTCAGAGTTACAAAGAACTGTGGAGAGCCATGATCGTCAACGTCCTGAAGGGACACAGCACACAGAAGACGATTCTAAGCCAGACCAACTAGCAACTGCTCTAGAATCGTTGTAACATTTGCTTATGAATTTATTAGACGAAATGTGACTATTATGGGGCAGAGATTTTACGATATTTTACTTAGCGTTTCATGTGAGTTTGTTTTTTGAATGCGGACCTTATAAATAACTGGCATATTTGAGTGTGGATAAGTTTTCCTCGAATGGTCACCTTTTTCATTCTTTATTTAATCTAATCTTTCAAGTAGGAAAAATACTTTAAAAAGAAAGCCATATTTTGGTGGTATCGAAATGAAGAGCCATGATATAGGGATGTAGGTATATAATTTGCCCAAGGCTAATAGTAATTATTAGTTATAAATAAGCTAATTCGATACCAATAAGTTTGACTTTATCATGTATCTTTTTTTTTTATCGATTACACGTCTGTAACTTCGACGCGGTGTAATGATTAGCAATCTTTAGTCGCTGGGTCAATTACAATTGAGTTGTGAGTTCGATCCCCATCTGGTGCCTCCATACTTTTGACCTTGTGCTTAGTAAATTACTATATAGTGATTTTCCAAGCGTAGCTTACATGTGGCACAAGGCCGACAGTTTGGGGCACCAAGTGAGGATCGACCACGCTATTCATTCGTAACTGTTCTGAGACATCTTGCTTACACCGCCTCGAAGGGCCCTAGTAAATTACTATATATGTTGAAATTATGGGTACTTCGGCGTGGCGTAATGGTTAGTTAGCTTTAACCGCTTGAGTAATGAGTTCAATCCCCCAATTGGTGCCCTATGCTTTTGAACTTGTGCTAAAACTAACCTATGTTTAGTAAATTACTATATATGTTCGAATCTAGGGCATTTCGCCGTGGTGTAATGGTTAGCATGTTTTACTCGCTAGTTTTGTTACGACTGAATAGTGAGTTCGATCCTCTCTGTGTGCTCCATTTAATTTCTAACCTAGGCTTATGAATATCTCCATTACACATCTTTCAGTGGCAACTTTGACGTCGTGTAATACCCAGCAATTTTGTCTCAATAGACCATTTATAACTGAATAGTGAATTTGATGCTCACTCTGTGCCACATCTAACCTACGCTTAATAAATTACTATATATGTTGACATTTTTAGTCTCTTTGTAATGGTTAGAATGTTTGCTAGATCAATTAAGATAGAGGTGTGAGTTCGACGCAAACTTGGTGCCCCAGACTTTTGGCCTTGTGCCACATCTAACTTACGCTTAATAAATTACTATATATGTTGACATTTTTAGTCTCTTTTTAATGGTTAGAATGTTTGCTAGATCTATTAGAATAGAGGTGTGAGTTCGACGCAAATTTTGTGCCCCAGACTTTTGGCCTTGTGCCACATCTAATCTAAGCTTAATGAATTACTATATATGTTGACATTTTTCGGCACTTTGAAGTGACTGGCATGCTTGCCCTGCTAGATCAGTTACGACTGAATAGTGAGTTTGATGTTCATTGGGTGCCCCACATCTAAGCTACCCTTAAAAACCACATTACGCTCTTCGGTTGAATAATGGATAGCGACTCGGATTGAGGAATCGGAGAGCCGAGTTCGAAATCCCGTCAGAGCCATTACATTCAGTTATGTGTTAATACCCTTGGGAAAGGTATAAATCTTATTCTCCCCCTCAGCTATGGGTAAATAGCAGGACAAGTCTGGGTTATATAACCTTGGGTGGAGAAGGAAAAACTTTGAATTCAAAGCCGACCTGGAGAGGGTTGGGCTCCACCAGGCTATCTTGCACAAGAAACACCACTTCTACTACATGCAATACACATGGTGACCTACGACCCTACGGGTCACGGGATAATAAAAAATATTACACATCTCCAAGAATTATATTACAAATGGTAATTTTATGTACTGACAAGGAATTAGTTACAAGAAAACTATAAGAAAAATGAAAATTACTGAATTATTACTTTGTGATTTGTACATTTCCGAATTGTTTTGTCAGTCTCCACATAATTTAATCATGCGAATAAACGTTGTTTAATGCCAACACCACTTGACAGCAATACACAAAAAAATACGCAGAATAGAAAATGATTTCTACTAGTTGGTAACTGGAATTTGTGGTTCAAAAAAGTTGCATAAGTGCTACTTTTATCTTTCGAAAACAAAAAACAACTCGGCCAAAAGGCGGAAGGGTCTTTTTCCACCATTTTGTTTTGTTTTTTTTTTGTTATTTTTTGTCTCAGGTTGTGCTGGATTCTTTTCACTGATACCTGTTTACATCGTTTTGATCACAATGTGTTGTTTTCTTTTTACCTGTGGGGGATTATATTGATTGCGAAACTGTTTGTATCCATTCTGCACTAGCAGTGATGCAAATAATGTGGATATTCCTCGCTGGTGAATCTCAAAAGAAGTGAATGTAAGCAAAGAACGGCTCGTAGGTATGAACGTTAGAGCGGGTGAGTGAAAGAGAGCGTAAATATTGATGCACGAGAAAAGGAATCGAGGAGAGAAAAAAAAAGGGATTGAAATAAAATCGGGGAATATATATTGGAAGAAACGGGAGAACGGCCAGATCAATAGCGAATAGAAAAATTATGATTGGAAAAAGGGGTGGGTTGAGATAGATAGATAGATAGATAGATAGATAGATAGATAGATAGATAGATAGATAGATAGATAGATCAGGACAGTAAGACTGAACAACAGATATTTATAGATAGATAGATAGATAGATAGATAGATAGATAGATAGATAGATAGGACGGAAAGAGTAAACGGGTAATTTTTATTAGAAATGAAACAAAATAGGAGTGGTAAATCCCAACATAGAACCCCGAGGAATAAATTTAAATTTGTTGTGTTTTTTAAGCGGAAAATAATGAAAGATCTTTGAGAGAGCGAACAAGGATGTTTAGCAAAAGTATAAAAATATATAAACGCGAACTGAAATTACGGTGACATAAATGAAAACAGTTGTTGTAAATTAGACAGCTGTAGGGGAAAAAAGAAAACATGTGCTAGATAACAATCTTTACACATTTGTAAGAAGGGATGAATGTCCCTAGTGAAGTAACTGTTATCGTTTTGATAAACAGAAAGCCAGAAAAAGGTTCAAATTTCATTTAACTTTATACTCAGGCCCTTAGAGAAAACGAATACATTTTCAGCCTGAGTAAAATCGTTATCTAACTTGTTGCAGAGGCTTAGATAAGGCCGACTACATTCCCTGGAGAGAGCAATGATGACCGTTATGCTGATTCGTGTATACAAGTGTCTACCTATTTGTCTTTCTTGTAAAACGTATCTAAATCTACCAAACCTATATCTACATTTTTGATTCTCTTGTAAATTAGACTTATGTTTGACTTTTTTTTTCTAGTGTAAACCTGATTCTATGTACCTTTTTTATTATTATTCTAGTGCAATCCAGACCTATATCTCCATTTTTGACTAGTACAAACCAAACCAATGTCTGCCTTCTTGGATCTAGTTTGTAAAGTCACCATGTCTACGTTTTTTACTCAGATGCAAACCGGTATATATGGCGTTTTTTTTTTAATCTAATTCAAACCGGGTTTGTCTACCTTTTTTTTTTTTGCTCTAGAGCAAGTCGAGTCTATGTCAACCGTTGTAACTCTAATCCGGATCTGTGTCTAGTTTTTTTATTTATTTTTGTGAGATTATAATTAATTTGAACACAGATATTTTTTTTATTTTTAAAAAAACAATTTATTGGCATATTTTACATATTATAACCCTTTTGTATCTGGTCTTAAGATTTTGACCAGGAGTGTATAATCATATATCCCGTGGGTAACTGCGTGCGATTGGAGAGCTGATAACCTCTCAGACCAAACACGTTCCCAAACTCTGACAAATGACCAAACAGCAAAATTTCCCTTTTTTATTTCTTATTTATTTATTTTTTAGAACCACATCTTGGTTAGGCTAGGAATTTCACAATATTTTCTTTTACAGTGAAATATATAAAAGAAACTATAGGGACAGAAAGAGACTGTGTGAGAATCGGGAAAGGTCTGATAAAGCTCAAATGAACTCCCCGTTAAAGGGAAAAAAGAAGATGAAGTTTAATTAAAAACGATAAAAGGAATAATAAATGTAAAAAGTAGAAAAAAATATTCGTCATTTAATTTCTGACTTGCTTCTTTTTATAAAAAAAAAAACAAAACAAAAAATAACTGCTTAAACAACTTCACGCCTTCTGGTTTCATTTTTAGTTTTGATTTCGATATTTTTTTTATGTTAATTCCTTAATTTTTTTTATATTTTTTAAGAAATTCTTCGTCGTCGGTTTATTCGTTTTATTTCCTCGATTCATTATATTTGTTTCCTTCTTTACAAGTAATTTTTGTTGAAAACCTAAACAGTTTAAGTTCAAGGATTTTCTCGACTTGATCCGATGCGCATGCGTAGATTGTCACTGAATAAAAAGAAGAGTGTTTGGAAGCAAATCAGAAGAGAGCAAAAAATATCACTAAATGTGAGTGTTTGTGTTCGGCGCTAAAGAAATCGGTGAGATTGACGATTAGACTCAAGATCGATTTTTTTTTATTCAGTTTACTACTGATATTTTTTAGAAGAACATGACTTCAATGAGAATATATTTTTGATTTGCCTCAAGATTCAAATAAAAGATCAATGCGGTCTTACCAACACCACGGATAAAATTAACGATTCTTTGACAAGAACATGGTCACCATATTGTAGATAATAACTGTGCTCCATCACACGTTGATCTGCACTTTCATTGGATTTAATTTTACTTGTCTCAAATTGTGATTGTATTATTAAACCTGGAATCACTCATTTTCTGCAATTGATATTAGATTAATACTAAAGATGCTAAGGTTTTCATTTGTGGAAGTTAAAGAATTATATCTCCAAAATTTGTTTATCCTCTTATTAGTTGTGTAATTATTGTTATAAGTTACTTTATGAATCTGTAAAAATGATTTCTATATAATTTAAGGAAATGGATATAAAACATTTGTTTTTCTCTTCTTGATCAACACAGGGAATTTTTTAACAAAATAGTTACTGTCTGTGAATAAAGGATTTATTAAATGACTAACTAAATCCATGATCAGTTATTAGTATCTCTGTCTTAACTAAATCCAATGGAAAAGTTATGTACTAGTTTTGAAGTCACTCAAACAGCCGTCCTAGGTATGACAATAAACTACATCCACGTCCTGGGTAAGACGATAAACTACGTCCAACAGCAAGGCCTCTGATCAGGAGGTTTTGAGGAGCGTAGAACCACCCTGACCCGGGGTGGTAGCACCTGTTAGGGTCCCAGCTATGAGCAAATAGATAACCCCCTAAACTGGGGTCAAAACACTATTGAAGTGTAAAAATAGGTTTTAATACCAGAAATACTTTGTAAAAAAAATATAAGCAGCTATATAGTTTTGAAAAAAAAATATTACTAGGTATACATTTTTGGGAAAAAAAAAAGAAAAAAATTTACCAGCGATACATATCTGAAAGAAAATTATTAGCAGAAATAGATATTTGAAGAAAAAAAATTACCAAAAATAGATTTGCTGTAGGAGAAAATGACCAAACATAGAATTTTTGAAGGAAAAAATATTACCAGAAATAAATATTCGAAAAAAATAATAATACCAACAATATAATTTTTCTCGGCATTAAATAACCCGTCGAGGTTGATATGTCGTAAAACAAAATAAACCAAACCAATCTAAACCAAAAAATACATATTCTATTCATACGAATCTATCCTAAAAATGTTGTCGGCATTAAATAACCCATTGAGGTTGATATGCGGTAAAACAAAATAAACCAAACCAATCTAAACCAAAGAATACATATTCTATTCATACGAATCTATCCTAAAAATGTTGTCGGCATTAAATAACCCGTCGAGGTTTATATGTCGTAAAACAAAATAAACCAAACCAATCTAAACCAAAGAATACATATTCTATTCATACGAATCTATCCTAAAAATGTTGTCGGCATTAAATAACCCATTGAGGCTGATATGTCGTAAAACAAAATAAACCAAACCAATCTAAACCAAAAATACATATTCTATTCATACGAATCTATCCTAAAAATGTTGTCGGCATTAAATAACCCGTCGAGGTTGATATGTCGTAAAACAAAATAAACCAAACCAATCTAAACCAAAGAATACATATTCTATTCATACGAATCTATCCTAAAAATGTTGTCGGCATTAAATAACCCATTGAGGTTGATATGTCGTAAACAAAATAAACCAAACCAATCTAAACCAAAAATACATATTCTATTCATACGAATCTATCCTAAAAATGTTATCGGCATTAAATAACCCGTCGAGGTTGATATGTCGTAAAACAAAATAAACCAAACCAATCTAAACCAAAGAATACATATTCTATTCATACGAATCTATCCTAAAAAAATGTTGTCGGCATTAAATAACCCATTGAGGTTGATATGTCGTAAACAAAATAAACCAAACCAATCTAAACCAAAAATACATATTCTATTCATACGAATCTATCCTAAAATGTTGTCGGCATTAAATAACCCGTCGAGGTTGATATGTCGTAAAACAAAATAAACCAAACCAATCTAAACCAAAGAATACATATTCTATTCATACGAATCTATCCTAAAAATGTTGTCGGCATTAAATAACCCATTGAGGTTGATATGTCGTAAACAAAATAAACCAAACCAATCTAAACCAAAAAATACATATTCTATTCATACGAATCTATCCTAAAAATGTTGTCGGCATTAAATAACCCGTCGAGGTTGATATGTCGTAAAACAAAATAAACCAAACCAATCTAAACCAAAAAATACATATTCTATTCATACGAATCTATCCTAAAAATGTTGTCGGCATTAAATAACCCGTCGAGGTTGATATGTCGTAAAACAAAATAAACCAAACCAATCTAAACCAAAGAATACATATTCTATTCATACGAATCTATCCTAAAAATGTTGTCGGCAATAAATAACCCGTCGAGGTTGATATGTCATAAAACAAAATAAACCAAACCAATCTAAACCAAAGAATACATATTCTATTCATACGAATCTATCCTAAAAATGTTGTCGGCATTAAATAACCCATTGAGGCTGATATGTCGTAAAACAAAATAATCCAAACCAATCTAAACCAAAAAATACATATTCTATTCATACGAATCTATACTAAAAATGTTGTCGGCATTAAATAACCCGTCGAGGTTGATATGTCGTAAAACAAAATAAACCAAACCAATCTAAACCAAAGGATACATATTCTATTCATACGAATCTATCCTAAAAATGTTGTCGGCATTAAATAACCCATTGACGTTGATATGCCGTAAAACAAAATAAACCAAACCAATCTAAACCAAAGAATACATATTCTATTCATACGAATCTATCCTAAAAATGTTGTCGGCATTAAATAACCCATTGAGGTTGATATGTCGTAAAACAAAATAAACCAAACCAATCTAAACCAAAGAATACATATTCTATTCATACGAATCTATCCTAAAAATGTTGTCGGCATTAAATAACCCATTGAGGTTGATATGTCGTAAAGCAAAATAAACCAAACCAATCTAAACCAAAGAATACATATTCTATTCATACGAATCTATCCTAAAAATGTTGTCGGCATTAAATAACCCATTGAGGTTGATATGTCGTAAAACAAAATAAACCAAACCAATCTAAACCAAAAAATACATATTCTATTCATACGAATCTATCCTAAAAATGTTGTCGGCATTAAATAACCCGTCGAGGTTGATATGTCGTAAAACAAAATAAACCAAACCAATCTAAACCAAAGAATACATATTCTATTCATACGAATCTATCCTAAAAATGTTGTCGGCATTAAATAACCCATTGAGGTTGATATGTCGTAAAACAAAATAAACCAAACAATCTAA